ACACACACACAGACACACACACAGACACACACACAGACACACACACACAAAGAGCTCCGCTGTGCTGATTCACACAACAGCTCCATTGACACACACTCAGCTGCTGTCACACACACTCACACCTACAGCTCTCTGCAAACACATAAACACACAGTCAGTCAGCAGCAGAGCTGATGTGAAGCACATCTGCAGGGTCTTCAGTGAGACCCATGTTCTCTGAGGTTTAACTCAGCAGAGACCGAATTATGGCTCAGGGGGATCTCACACTATTGATTGAGCCATTGCTTGACATTTAGGAAACATTCTTTATGAGGTCAACTGCATATAACTACAAGATAGTATTTTATCATTCAAAACCTTGCAGACAGCAGCTTGAGCAAACACTAAAAGAGAGATGAGAGTATTGTGATGGACGGCACGGTGCAGACATGTCATTGTTTGTGTCTGTCAAACAATCCCATCAAACCGTGTGAACTCACAGCATCAGTCCTTCAGATGGGATAGGAGCATTCTAGTATTGGATAGCTTTATATATTAAAAATGATTTAACTCACATTTTAATGAGACTGATTACAGTTTTTTTCGATTGCTAAATGACAGTGGGCACAACTGGGTGATTCTATTAATCAAATAAATAATAACAATGCCCTAGTGAATGATTTCAGACTTTACCCTCTCCAGCTGTGGTTTGTCTTTGGGCTGCTTGAATAGTGTTTTTGTGATTTAGAGTTGTTAGTGTGTGATTTCTGGTCTGAGATCAGCTCTCTTCACTCACAGCCAAGCGGCAACCTCCCGCTCTCTCTGGTGAAACCAACACGGAAGTTGTTGACTCTTGTTGGAAAAGAGTCAGTCCCATAGACTCCCCATGTTAAAATGCCCAACTTTACAGCAGAAAAAAATGGTTCAAAAAATGATTTTGGTCTATATAGCTTTTTGGCCAGCTCCGCCCACTTTGAGCTTGAAAAACGCTCTTCAGAAACCTACGGGTGACGTCACGGACACTGCGTTCATGTTTTTATACAGTCTATGCTCACAGCGCTGAAGTCTTCATGCGTGGCTGAGCAGGTTTGACCACAGTAACCTGACAGACAAGCGCTCTGATGACCTGCTTTCTCTTCACCGACTCAAAGGTGGCTATTTATATATATTTTCTGCACCAAAGTTCCTGAACATTTCCAGGATATTCTGGACTTGGTCTCATTGTAAACTGCGTTCTACAGTATAGCACTATTAGACACTTCAGCTTATTTGCCTTTGAGAAGCGTGACAAGAAAAGTTTCGGATTCTTGCTTGCCTGTCTGCAGGATATTAGATCTGGGGTATCTTTACATTTTAATGAGAACTGAAGAACTGATGAAGACTGAAGTTCTTGTTTTGGGCCTCAGTTTCTAAAGGCATTATTAATCTTAAACTTGCTAAATTGGTGCACTGTATTAGTCCAGACATGGGTCATATTTGATTCTTCCCCTAAGTTTGACAAACAAATATGTGTTTTAATGATTTTGAGAGAGTCAGTCTTGCATTTTTTCATCTTAAATTGATTTCTGCAACTCTTTATGCATAGGAATAAAAGTTTCTTTGCACAGCTCCAAATGGTCTGCTGGGCTTTTGACCCGTGTACATGTTACTCCAACTGGAGTTGTAAATTATTGTAAACTTTAAAATATGACCTTTTGTGTTTAAATCCTTGAATGGTTTGGCACCCTCTTATCTTTCAGACATACTGTCAGTGAGTAAAGCGTTCGTGTCCTCTGTCCTCTGTCCCAGTCCAGGTTCAAGCTCAGCGGTGCTGTGTTTGTGTGGTTTTGTGGCTGTTGGAGCACAGCTATGGAATAGTCTGTCTGATCTGCTGCTCGTTTCCTTCAAATGCCTGTGCAGTTAAACTGGATCTCGTTCGTGCAGATAGATAAAAGAAGAGTTTGCATCTCCACAACTTGCATTTAAACTTTTGAATTTATGTCTGTAATAATAAATGTGAGTGTGTGACGTGTTCATGCCTTTTTCTTATAAAATGACGCTGTTTGCCTCCTTAAATTCCCCACTTTTTCCACATTTTAATTCTTGGAATACATGTAGCTTTTTTCACCATTTTATGATGGTAAAATTTCCAAACTTTGCATAAAAACTCTAGTATCTGGCTGACCATATTCTGTGTGCATAACTGATCTCACTATAGATGTTATAGAGGATGTGTTATCGTTATTTGATTCAGAGAAAGAAAAAAGACTAAAATGTTAATTGTCAACTTAAAAAATAATTCAAACAATTAAACTGTGAAATTAGAGATTCTTACCTGACATGCTTTTAAATAAATGTGTTTTAACTGCATGTGATATTAATTTAAAGTGCATTTTCAGTTTCACAGCATAATACAAAGCGAGTTGACTTCTACAAACCCAGATCTGTCTTGACTGAATCTTTTATTTCTTAGACCTAGAAAATGAGTTCTTAAGGGGGGAGAGAGATCTGGGACATGCTCTGAAATTCCTTAATCTTTCTCAGCTCTGATTGAGATCTGTTAAGACTTTAATACCGAGTCTAATCACACACTTGACTTTACCTCACGCCAGCTGCTGCTCTCGCCCCGCATTTCCAGCGTGAGCTGCAAGCTGAATGGAGAAGTAATTACAGGAATAGCTCACAAATATTGTAGAAATGAATTAATTTACTCATTCACATTTTAAGACCTGCTGTGTAAAGTTCGATGTAAATTAAACCAAAGGCCAACCGAACGAACTTGAACATGCGTATGTGAATGTCATTTTAAAACAAAACTGTTTATGGTGAACCATTCCTTGAAAATAAGACACTTGGTGGCAAACCAATTACACAGTGGGTTTTTTGTACCTGGCTTGAGGAATTCGCAGCTCATTATTGACATTCTCAGAAATCAGCTGCTTGTGAGGGGCGCACAAACAAAATCCCATCATGCACTGTGACGCTAAAAGAGCTGCATTGATCTGCAGAGCAGTTCCCCCAACATCCGAACTGTCATTGATTCCCCACAATGCACCATAAAACTCATGGAGACGAGGGCTCTTGCTCTAGATCCGCTGAGGTTGTATCCGGGGTCTGGTCCAGTGCTTTGGGCTGGCCTGGAGTCGATCCGCTGCGGTGGAGCCGGCTGCTGATTGGGGCCCTGGGGCCGTGGGCAGCTCGATGCAGTGAAGGGCGAAGCGTCCCTGGATATCGTGCTATAAAAGCCTGAGCTGGTCCTGAGCGGGGAAAGGGAATGAGGAGCTGGCTTCGACAAGGCAAGAAGTTTAGATTGTTTCATCATCAAAGAGGCGTTCCAGGTGAGAATCTGCTTGCGTGCTGGGATGAGTGTGGAATATATGCAGCACAGATTATTGTTCCTCGTTTGTATTATTGTATTTATACTGGAAATGCATTTTATTCGGCCTAGCTTCCACGAGACCAAACAGAGAACAGATTCATTGGGATGTTGCTGATGACTACTTTGTTATTCTGAAAATAAAGAGCAATGTGCATCCTAAAGAAGCCTTTTATTATGAGGCGTTTATTGGCACAACAGGTAGAAGAGTTGAGTCGTTTACGGTCGATGAGCAACATCACAGCTTCCTTTATTAATACAGAATTTAGCTGATGTGCTCCCAGTGTATATGTCTGTGTATATTTCCTATTTCACAACCAAGTAAACCAACTGGTTTCCGCTCATCAATTTGCATATAACAATAAAAACCAATATCAAATTTGTAGTTGCAGTTGTAGTAGCTTTTATTTGTAGCTGTCTGTTCTGGAGGCTGTGCTTGAGTGGTATTGAGCAGCGAGCAGAAATAGTAAAGCCCCTGGCAATGGAGACCGAACATTGATTTCTGCAGAACACATGGGGTGTAAAGCGGGTCACCGCCAGCTAATCGCTGAAACTCTTAACTAGTGCTGCTGGTCAAGTCACGCGTCACTATTGATATTGTTTTTGCATTGTCATTATGTCTCTTTAATAAGAAGAATGTTACGTAACACAGCCATCACTAAAATCCAAAGTGCCTGCAACAACATTTTAATGTTGTAAAAAATTTTAAAATCAAGTTTCTTTTTACCGTAAATCAAGCTGTCGTGGTGACGCTGGATTCAGGCTAGCATGTAGTGTTAGCATTAGACATCTGACAGGCTGTTGCTTTATTACTTTATACCGACGTGAAACATTTAGTCAGATGTGTGTTGGCAAAGTTGTTCAAACACCAACGAAACTGACTGTGGTAAAGCTCTGTAAAGTTTTTACACTGTGTATATCTACTTTAGATATATTAGCATATTGAAATATCTCCAGCGTTCTTCTGTAGCTAATGGTTCTTCTGTAGCTAATGGAGAGTAATTCCAGTGAGCACCAGCATCTTCTGCTTTTATCTCCATTGGCTGCATCAAGACCTCTTGCTTTAATTCATTGCATTTATTCAATCATTTCATCTTTTTCTTTTCTGTCATCCTCTCGCCATGCTTTCCACCAAACGTTCCCCCACCCCTGAAACGCACCTGCGCTCCAACCGGCCGCTCTGTGGTTGGAGATGGCAGAGTGTACAGCAGCCCCAGTGGTCATGGAGGACAGTGACCGCGAGGCCGACTCGGCGTCAGATGAGCAGGACTCTATGCCAGCGTCGCCTGAGCCCAGGCTGCATGAGGTGGACAAGGTACTGATGCAGCTCCCTCCCTCTTGACCTCTGACCTCTCAGGACGCTGCCCCACTGCCCTTAGATATAGAACCTTCTTCTGCAAGCTGGCATATTTTCTTAGTTCATTTGTTAAAGTCAAATCACAATCGACCTTGTGGACTTTCAAATTGTGAGCAATTTCTCAGTGCACATTATTCTTACGGAAAAAGGGTTGTCTTCATAATCTTTCATGAAAATGTAATAACTGAATCAGTCATAAGTAAGATAGCTGTTTAGGGCCATGCCAATGCCAGTTAACGTTATATTTATCCCAAGGCAGCCAGTGGGACACTTGGAGAAACTCTGAACCTTCAGCCTCCACGTTCCCATTAAAAGGCTCCTCAAAGTGTATGATAGCGGCGTTTCAGGAGAAGAAGAATCCCCCACAATCCACTGCAAACTCACACTCGGAAACACACCATCCCACCCACTCTTCAAGCTCTGTCTCACATTGTTTTCTTGTTAAATATCTTGTTGCATTCAGATATGTGTTTCATTACTTAAGTCAAATGGGTTGCAAAAGCCATTTCATGTTGACTTTAAAATCTTCTTTATCAGCTAATTTCATATCTGATGTGTCCTTGAAGTGTTTAATGACACAAATCAGTTTGACAGAAGGGAAAACACAGATAAATTCAGTGAGAACTGGACTAGCCAGCCTTTGGGAGCTCCAGCATCACTGCGACCCTACAGAGGACAAGCGGTTTGGAGAAAGGATGGATGGAAACTCATCCAGGACATCTGTTCAGTTCAGTATTTTTCTCTTCCAGGTTGTGGCAGCAGATTATCAAATCACTTTTCCAGGGTACAGGTCCATGTCTGCACCTCAAACACAAATTCACTGCACCGCAATGCATTATTTATCCGCAAAGGTTTAGAGCAGTGGAAACCCGAGTGCTGTACAAGAGAGTGTCACATTGCCCGACTATTGGTTCTGTTCTTCAGGACACAGGAGCTGCTTATGCTGTTTAATACATGCATCCTTTTATGGCCTTCTCTGAACAGGTTTCCCAAGACAACCTGGCCATTGTAAGAGTGTAATGACAGCAATGCAGTTAAATATGGATGTTACTCCTCTTCGAGTGTTTAATAGAGGTCTGTACACATGAACTTAGCTCGTCAGAAGCTCATGAACACTTTCCCGGCCAAACACAGAATTTTCCGTGTTTCCGTGTTTTCACTGTTATACGCTAGGGGGCGCTGTTACGCATCTCCTGAATGAGTCTCGAAAGTACAGATCAAAAACACAGACCAGGAAGACGCAGAAACGAGCGATCTCATATGTGACCATATATGAAAAATAATGAGATCATCAACACTAACCGCATATAAATGAAAACTGCCTAATGTTAGCGAGTGAAATGTGGATCCAGAAAGTGGTAAAGCCCTGTGCAAGCTTTGGGAGGACTGATGGAAGCCATCTACTGTAGCTTTGCTTTGATAATATTACTGAAGATGATCCAGATGTAGTGTTTGATAAAAATGTGATTTTCTCAGCTTTTTGCTCAAAATGTTGCTTTTTTAATGAAACTTACCTACATTCAAGTGTTGATTAAAAAAAAGAAAGAATGCTTGAAGCTAGAATAAAGTCTTTTTTGTTTAAAAGTAGCGACTCTCTTCTTTATTTTGATTTATTGCATGTTCAGATATTCATACAACCAAATATTCTGGGTGCCATGAAATTTTAGTGAAAATCATCAAAAATGCTGGCGGTGGCTGGCAACTGTTTTTCAAAAACGCTGGTGGAGAAAAAGTTAAAGAGCATAAAGCCACAGCGTGAGCGTGGTGGTTGTGTTGAACAGAACTTCTCTATCGTTCATATGTCTGCTGTGGATAGACTCTCATCAGCAGCATGGGTCCTGTCATTATTAGCAATAATCAGCACAGAGAGTATCACTGTGTTCTGTGTGTCTGGTGTCTCTCGTCCCGTGTGGACACTAACAGCGGTCATGTAGATGTGTGCTGTCCAGTGTCATCTTTCTCAGGAACACTCCTTTTACTACTAATGTGCTTTTCTTGGATTCATAAAGCCTTGTCAAACTTTTACCATGGTAACCTTAATTTTTGGCAAAATGTTTCACTAAAGGTGATTTACTGGGCTGCTAGTAGATAGTAGGTATTTACCATGGTAATCTTTTGTAAGGACATGCACAGTGTTTTGTATCTAACCTCTAAATGGTCTATTCTCTTTTTGCTTCTCTTCTCCATGACCTTAATTTTCCATATTAAACCACTCTCGCACCTGCCCGTGTGTTCTGTCTCGACCCTCCTGACCTCAGCACTTCCCTAAGGAAGACTCGGAGGACTCGGAGCTGGAGCACATCATGGGACATCACCCGCTGGCCCACCACGGGCCCCATAGGGCCGATAGTGAGGGCGAGGGTCACAGCAGACCCCACACCCCGGGGACGCCCTCCTTCCTGAGGCCCGCGGCCGCGCCCAGGGGCCCCGGAGACACAGAGCACGAGTCCAGATGCGGGGCTCAGCGGGGCCGAGTGGACTTTAGCCTGCCGTCTCCCATCAGCCCATCCAGGCCTAAGAGCCCCTGGGGCCGCTATGACCCCTATGACTCGACTGAGGTAAAGCATGCTGGGATAGCCAGGGTTTGATTCCCTCATGAGTCTTCGCGCAAACACCCCAAAATATCACTCCGAACGACTAACCTAAAAGCACTGTATTACTATGTTGGAATGTACCATAGTATTCTTTGAATCCTTCAGTACCATGGTACATATCAAAATACTGTGATATTATTTCCATCTAGCACCATCACTATATCACACTACTGGCACAGGACTGCTTTCTGAGGGATCTCAGTAGCACCCATACAGCAGTTACCTTGTGTTGTTTTTATGTTTCTGAGTTAGAACCGTATTTTTGTTCTTGAGCTTGCGTTTCATGTGTCACTTCCTTGCATTTTAATGACATGTTTTTAAGTGGATCCTGTTGGTGGTCTATAGCATGTGTGTAAAGGATGATAATGAAAGGCGTAAAGCTCTTTTTGGGTTTATGACGCTCCACCCAAAGCCTGGCACCTGTGGTTTGCCTCCCAGAGAGAAACGCTCAATGTGTGTCAGCTCCTGCTGCTGCTGGGGTTATAAAGCATGATGATAAGAGACACAGCCGACAGAATGAAGACTGACATTTCACTATACAGAAGGGGTATTTTTTGCTTTTTGCTTCTTGGGTCATCTCTCTATCAACTACTTTTTTTAAATGTTATTTTTTATAAGAGTAGTTAGTACGTTATACATTTATGCATCATTACAGGGATTATATATTGTTTATTAATATTTTTGTATTCTTCTCATTTTAAAATATTACAAATGTATTTTTTATTCCTTTCATTTATCTGCTCAGTGACCTTTTTAATACTCTTTAACATTTTGTATTCTCTCTTGCTTGCCCTCTTTTTGTTTTTTCTTGGTAGGACCATGACAAGGAGTATGTGGGATTTGCGACTTTGCCAAACCAGGTTCACCGCAAATCTGTGAAGAAGGGCTTTGACTTCACTTTAATGGTAGCAGGTAATTTCAACATCAACTGAACAAACAATGTGAAAGTGTGTGTTCTCCTGTTCTGCATATCAAAGGTATAGCTCACCCAAAAATAATTTAGTCCACGCTGCTCTGTTCCACTTACTAATACTGAAGCTGTTGTTCACTGAAATCATCCACTCCACTGCATCTCTCAAACCTTCACATTCTTTCAGATATGACGGGCAGTGACTAGATTGTACTGTATAACCCACATCAGACCTAGTGTGAGGAGTGATGAGAGAACATTCACTTTTGGGTGAACTGTTGCTTTAATGTCACTGGTGTTGTTGATGATGATGATGATGGTGGAGTTGTTCTTCCTCACAGGAGAGTCAGGTTTGGGAAAGTCCACCCTGGTCAACAGTCTGTTCCTGACAGATCTCTACAAAGACAGAAATCTGCTCAATGCTGAAGGTGAGGCTCATCTCTGGCGGCTGTCACTTCCCTTTACTGTATAATAATCTAATAATAATCACTGTGTTGGCAGAGAGGATCACTCAGACGGTGGAGATCACCAAACACACGGTGGACATCGAGGAGAAGGGCGTCAAGCTGAAGCTCACTATCGTGGACACACCAGGATTCGGGGACGCTGTCAATAACACTGAATGGTACATAAAGGGCTTGAGGGTTTCTGATTGGTGATCTCAGTAGATCCTCGTTACTGTAAGACAGTGATTCGATACACCTAATACTACCATGATGTATAATGCTGGTACTGTGAGAAATCTCTTACTGTTTTTGATCTGTGTGTTTTGTGTTCAGCTGGAAGTCGGTGGCAGACTACATCGACCAGCAGTTTGAGCAGTACTTCAGAGACGAGAGCGGACTGAACCGCAAGAACATCCAGGATAACCGTGTGCACTGCTGCCTGTACTTCATCTCGCCCTTCGGTCACGGGTACGAGCGCCAGCAGATCTGATCAGAGGGCCGTGGCTTCACCGCGGTGCTGTGGTGCAGTGGTTAAAGCTTATATTCGAACCCCGTGAAGGCTGATCCGTCAGATCCTGCTATTGTGTTCTTGATGTGCTAACACTCGCTCGCTCCAGAGGGCGCGTGTGCGTCCCAGTTCACATACTTATGCGCTATTCTATGCTGTTCTTCTAAACAGTTGGTAAATGTGTTAAAAATGAAAATTACAAAAAGAAAAAGAAAAAGTGCCCTTCAAATGTCCGGATGATGCACTTCACCTAAAAAACAAGGTTGGACACGTCATGCACTAATGCAATAATCTGATCATGCATTATCACTAATTTTAATGTTACATATGCACATTTCTATTTAGTCCAAGTATAATTTTATATCACTTATTTTTGTTCCACATGTTTGTTACCACAATGGCTTTTACATGTTGTTTGTAATTGAAGAGCAACAAGATCAAGAGCTTGACGTCTGTCTGAAATAGTTCTACCAGACGCTTGACCCAACAGCTCATATTTTAGAGTCACATATAAGAGTTTTTACTGGACAACGACACTGAAACAGTCCATCTCTTGTTTCAGTCATACGACACAGTAAATGATCTGTCTGTGCCCTCTGCTGGCCAGGTGCTGTTATTGCTGTCTGAGGAGTGACATGAATCTCTGTTCAAAATGAATTCAGAATGTAAATGACTGTAAATGTCACCTTAAAATTACATTTTAAGCAGGTTTAAACTTTAGGACCGGGCTTTATTTAAGTTATAATTCAAAGTCTGTCTTGACATGCAGTATTTTGCTCTGTTGTGAGAGTGGTTAATGTGTGTTGTGTCAAGGTTACGGCCTCTGGATGTGGAGTTTATGAAGGCTCTTCATGAGAAGGTCAACATTGTTCCTGTACTAGCTAAAGCCGACACGCTCACCCCAGCGGAGGTCAAGAAAAAGAAAATCAAGGCAAGTGCTCAAGCTGTCCAAACCTGTCACGTGTGTGTACAGATGTCCCGTGAACTGACTTCAGTGTCAAACCCTTCAGATCCGAGAGGAGATCGAGCAGTACGGAATAAAGATCTACCAGTTTCCAGACTGTGATTCAGACGAGGATGAGGACTTCAAACAGCAAGACCAAGAGCTCAAGGTCAGAAAAGACATCCAGCTGTCCAAAGTTCTTGTTTTCAGTAAATGTTTCAGGTATTTTTCTTATATACCATCGCACATATTTTCAAATGTGTAACTATGCAGACAATAAAATGAGATGATATATGACCCTGAACCACAAAACCAGACATAAGGGTCAAAGTTTTTTCGAAATTGAGATTTATGCATTATCTGAAAGCTGAATAAATAATCTTTCCATTGATGTGTGGTTTGTTAGGATCGGACAATATTTGGCTGAGATACAACTATTTGAAAATCTGGAATCTGAGGGTGCAAAAAAATCTAAATATTGAGAAAATCATCTTTAAAGTTGTTCAAATGAAGTTCTTAGCAATGCATATTACTAATCAAAAATTAAAGTGCCCCTATTATGGATCTTTGTAAACTACCTTTCATGCAGTGTGTAACACAGCTCTAAGTGAATGAAAACATCCTGCAAAGTTTTAAATCTGAAAGTGCACCGTGTATAAAGTTATTGTCTCTCAAAAGAAAGTCGAATCTGAATCATTGAATCGAGTCATTTTTAAAACGAATCCCAAGCCGTTTAATTTTGACGTCAACATGAAACATTAATATATTGCCCGCCCACTTGTTGGTCTTTTCGCGTTGGTCTGAATGAAAATGCAAATTCATTCTTTGTAGTAAAATAGCGGTTTCCCCGGTAACACTGTACACAAAGCAGCACTGCGCTCACAAACACTGCTTTATCAGGCGTTACAGGCGAGATGAAATGAACATGAGACCAATCGGACCAATCACCGCAGATTAGCATCACCACTTTAAGTTTATTTGTGTTTTGGTACGGGCTGTTTGTGGAAAGCGTGGTTTGTGTTGAGACGGTCGTCTGATGTTCTCCTCCCTCAGGACAGCATTCCCTTCGCTGTGATCGGCAGTAACACAGTAGTGGAAGCCAAAGGCAAGAGGGTTCGAGGACGTCTGTACCCCTGGGGAATTGTAGAAGGTATGATCCTGACAACAAACACGCCTCAGAAACATTTCCCACCATCTGCAAAACCAGTCAAGCATACAGGGCTTACCGAATTCTTTACATTTACAAGACCAAATTAAGATATCCATCCTATTTCATGATCATTAGCAGACTGGATATGTACTGTGTGTGTGTTTGTTGGACAGTGGAGAACCCCGCGCACTGTGACTTCGTGAAGCTGAGGAACATGTTGGTCCGAACACACATGCAGGATCTGAAGGACGTGACCCGGGAAACACACTACGAGAACTACAGAGCGCACTGCATCCAGAGCATGACCCGCATGGTGGTGAAAGAGCGCAACCGCAAGTACGCACGCGCTCGCACGCTTCGTCATGCTTCAGTCACACATCACATTACTGTCAGGTTTGATGAGCCAACCCACGTCACTTCCTGTCCCCCTTACAGATTTACCTGCACATCCTGGAACACTGCTAAATATTACGTCACTACAACACATTAGGAAGTTAATATATATATATATACACTGAACAAAATTATAAACGCAACACTTTTGTTTTTGCCCCCATTTTTCATGAGCTGAACTCAAAGATCTAAGACTTTTTCTATGTACACAAAAGGCCTATTTCTCTCAAATATTGTTCA